ATTTGTGGCCCATAAGGTCTATGTTTATTCACTCGTTTTCCTGAAAATTCTTTACTTCACAAACTCGTTATATTATTAATAAAAGGATAAAAGCAAGTATTCATTGATTACTTGCGATGTCCCAGATACTATTCTTAGGGTTTTAATATACATTATTTAATTCAATTCTGACAAGAACCCTATCAGGGATATACTATTTTTATTAGCCCCAGTTTATACTTAAGGAAATTAAAGCTTAGAGAGATTGCCCTAGTTTATACAACTGGTATATCGTGGAACCATAATTTTAAAACTCTGTGACTCCAACACCAGAGCTATTAATTCTGTAGTGCATCCTACATTTCTGTATATATTTGATTATAAATACTATACATTATAAAGCTTCACTTGTTATAATGGACAGCGATGGCACAAACCACATAATACTTTTCTGTGAAAAATACACATAGTTTTCAAAAATCCAATCAAGCAGAAATTTAAATATTAATGCTATCAAATTGAATAAATATTTTAATTTATTGAACTATATATGTTACATGTCCATAAATTATATATTATTAAAATAATGACAGACCGATTAATTTAATAGAAAATGTTAAGGAATAACTATGAGGAAAATTTCTTATAATAAAAATGAGGAATGTATGATTATTTGAATGCCCTTTTAATGAAATCATAAAATAAATCTAAATCTTTGTTTTAATTCAGAAATTTAAAATTAAGCAATACAAATAATAGAAGCAGATCACATTTCTATGTTCTAATATATGCAAATATAAAATGCATTACATCTTTAGTTTTTTTACAGTTAGAATGACTATGTATTTTATCATCCAAATCAGAAACACGTCTAAAAGCAAACAGAAGCAATGTTGATGAGTAAATTTATCCCAGGAAAATTAGGCATATGGTCACCCTACTTTGAATAAAGGTTCATCAATTCTTCCGTAACTAAAATCCATTAGTTGAAGTACAGGACAAATTTTAGGAAGCAGTGTGGTGTGATGCGGAAATAATAAACAGGATCCTGGGTTCTCAACCAATTTTGTTCTTTATTAGTATCTCTGAGTTTCAGTTTCTTCATATTCAAAAGAGAAAAAAACCAATACTTTTCACCGGTCAATGATGTGCCATGGATTAAACGAGAAAATGAATGTAATTGTTCAGTGTAAACTGCAAATTAATTGTATAGATCCTAGTTATACTACTAAGCTCCACACTTTGACAAAAATTCTATTTTTTAAAGGAAATGAAATTGTACAAAACTTCCAAAAATTTCCAAGTATAACTTTATTAGTTTTCTGGAAATATTTATATATGTAAAACACAGGGGTAGGTTATAGTTGTGATTATGCAAAAGTTTATTCTTACATTATCATGTGTTAATTAATGTGTTATTTTCCATACAAATAACTGTAAACCTACTTTTGCCCACTCCTCTTTAATCTGCTCTCAATTGTTTGAATAACTGCACCTTTTACCTAAGAAAATATACTGGATAGTTTCATAAAAGTGACAATGTCTATGGTAATTCTTAAAAACGTTTTTTTTTTTTTTTACAACAAAAACACATTAACTACCTGGAATTATATATTTTTAAATGACTATAAGAAGATGTCTCCATAAAAGCACTATATTAAGGAGTCAGACAGAAATTCGGCATATATTAGTCTTGAGAAATATTTGGTTTTCAAATTTGAGGGGTTTTTTTCCCCCTCAAAATGACACAAAAAATTTACATCAACTGATCAAAATTCTAATCGGTTTTAATAGTTGTTCATATTTCAAATTATATTCTAAGAACATCACAACAGGTTGTCACTCTAGAAAGCGTCCAGATAAATTTGCCTTCAAGTGGCTAACCACCCTCATTTGGCTAGGGACTCACTAGCTTCCTCTCCCAAACACTTTAGTTTTCCTCAATATGGGACTAGAATTTGTTTTCAAACTCTTAACAGGATCACTGAAGGGAAACAGGAGAAATACTACAAAGGCGAGCCTGGATTCATTCCAGGGGCAAGTACTCTCACAGTGATGCCAAGAAATTATGCCAAGGAGGGAAGTGATTTTACAAATGAATATAGTGTCTTAGTTAAGTATAAGTTATTTAATTCTTTTGTCATATCACCAAGGTTAAAAAGTAAGAAAGTTATATGGTAAATAATTTACTTGACTTATTAAGTGCAGACATACTCTTTCAGCTCAATGACAAGGAGGCATCTCCTTTAATCACATTTTCTTTAATGAACTCTTACTATTAATATCTAATTCCACCTATTCTAACACATAATTAATGTAGATGACAGTGAAGTAATTTTATTTTACTTTTAAGTACCTTAGTGTATTTTGCAGGTGACAATAATTTTGGTATTCAAATGAGGTCCCAATTCTTGAAACCAAAATAAATGAATGTGAACAATTATAATAGTAACACATTTAATGAGATGATTTTGTTCATTTGGAAAAATTTTCCTCACAGTAAATGTAAGTTTACCACAGTTAAAGATTGCTTTTCTTACTAAATTCTACACTTGGAAGTACAGGGCTCGAGAAGTTCGTTTGTTTTTCTTAACAAGTAAACGATGAGTTAAATTACATAAAATGAAACAAAAAAATACTATGATTTTTTAAAAATCTTTAAACAATAAAAGATCAGGACCTTTAATGTTATTTCGTAGTCTTTCCTTAAAATTTATTTTGCTCTTTTATATGTATTCCTGCTTTGTTTCCCATTTTTAATTGCACTAAAGTTTTACATTCCATTTTCACATCAATCAAAATCTTCATATTAGTCACACTGACTGCTGATTGCTTTTATAGCTAAAAAGTACTAGTATGTTCTTAAAATTTTCTTACAATAGTTACTGTTGAATAACTATTTTCATTTCAAGTAACTGTTGTTAGCTTTTAGTCAATGAGAACATTGCCTTTCATTAAACTGATGAGTTAACTAAGAATATTTCTATACTTACCCAGTGCAATAGCATTCTGCCTAATAGTGATAAATCTTCAGATTTTGATTTCCACATACATGGAACCTGAAGGATTTTTTACCCTGTAAGAAATACTGCCAGTGATAGAGAGGGGAAGAGGACAATGGGTAGACAGGTTTGACTCCTTCAGGGAGTGTAAAAGAAGGCTGCTAAACTGTCCTATGGGACCTGAACCTGTAATATCTCCATTTATTTTGCACACAGTTCACATCACAATGTCAGCTATGGAGAGATGATAATCAGCTGCTGAGCCATAAGTATTTTATATGCCAGTGACCATCCACATGCAGTGTTTAACTTTTCAACCAGGACAGAAAAATATATTTGCTAAGTTACTTCATCTAAATAGTCCATCTAGTAGAAATATAATGTGAGCTACATATGAAAATTCAAAATTTCTAGAAGCCACACTGAAAGAGTTAAAAGCAACAGCTGAAATTAATTTTAATGTTATATTTTACTGAACCCAATTTAGCTTTAAAAATTACTAATGACTTATTTAAAAAAAATTTTTTTTGTACTAAGCCTTTGAGATCCAGAGTTTAATTTATACTTGCAGCACATCTTGATTTTGAATAGCCACTTTGCAGAACTTAAAGAGCTATTGGCTACTGTATTGAACAACACAGATCTAAATATTTTTTATTATTATTTCTTTAAGTATTCTACTAGAAAGAGAATTTTGGGGAATTAATTATGATTTATAAACCAAATTACTATTAGCAAGACATTTAAGTTCAGAAACAGGAACAGAATAATATTTGTTAGGGTTCTCCTTGCTTTGTGATGGAATGTAGAGCAATACTGTTGTTCTAAAAGCCCAGGCTCTGGAATCAGAATGCTCTGAGTTTGAATCTAAGCTAAAATGAGCATTATTTACTAAAGTAATGGCAAGCAACCCATTTATCCTTGACAGTCCCAATTTTCATTCTGTAAAATGGAGATGATAATGATAGCTACCTCATTAAATGAACTAGTAATGTGAAGCACATGGATGACTATCTGCATACACTGTTATCCCTTAAATTTAATTGTAATAATTATTGTTAGTTACAGTTCCCTCTAAATTATCTAATATATGCAAATATTAAAATTGTGCTTCTGGCTAGGAGTAAAAGAATATATAAAAGTTATTTTTTGAAATGTATTATGTTTTATAAGTTACAAGTTAAGAGAGATGTAAGTGATATAATCTTAAAAATTTCAAGATAGGTGTATGTGACACAGTTTTAAATTTAGAAAAAATATACTGGTCAGTTTTTATGACCAATGTCATGTAATACAAGACCGAGTTTTACAAAACATAAAATTTACTAATTCATACACTATTATTGTTGCAAAACAGAAAACTTCCAGCCGATGTATTACGATAACTAAAACTTTACTTTGGCCCACTTCCACAAAAATATGGTTTACTATCATATAATTTATCAGGAAAACACTCATTTTATTATTTAGTCCAGAAAAGAAATAATGGCTTTGGCAGAAGTAACCTCAGAGATGTATTAAGCGAAATGTGATGATTTTGTATCAAAATTTTAGTATTTATAAAAAATGTCTCTGAAAGTTTGCAAATGTACTTGTACTTGCCCTGTCAGTAGAATTCTTATTAGCAACCCCCTTACTCTATGTTTTGTGCTACTCCCAAGTCCAGGTGATACAGGTTTCAAAACAGAAGGAATCAAATATCATTAAATCCTGATAAATGTCACTTCACTCTCCTCTCTTAAATCTCATAGCTCAAATACGCAACTAAGTCAAGCAGAAGGCAAATTAAATTTTAGTAACAAATACCATTATTGCCAGTATTTATTACATAGCCTTAGTGCAGCTATCCCAGCGGGGAATCATTGACCTTAAGTTTAATAGAGAGCTTGCTTAAGATCTACTGAATCAGGCTGCTGGTACAGAGAAGACTCACACATTCAAATAATTATTACTACTTAAAGACTTTGATATTGAAATAGACAAAATGCAAAGTAGAATTGAATAGCACATATTACTTACGTTCACAAGTGTCCCCTTTTTGCTGGTAGCCTGCTTTGCAGATACATTTTCCAATGGGCACTAACCATTCTCCTTCTGCACTGCAGTGCATCCTGGGGGAGTTTTCCGCCTCTTCCTCTGCACTGCTGACACATGTCCCTCGAACCTCAACTAAAGAGGAAAATTCTGAACCAGTCACTGTATCTGGAAAGATAGCTAAGTTCTCAATAATCGACCAGCACTTCTTGTAGTACACTTTGACAGAAACCAAAGCTATGCAAGCCCCTACATCCTGAAAGGCAAGATAGAATCCCTTTTTGGACAAAGGTCCAATCTCTCTCACCTCAGTGTTAAGCTTCATTTTTCTTTCACCAAGGTCACCTTGAGTAAAACTTTCATCTGCAGCAATGGTGTCTATTTTTACATAGAGGTTTTCTCTTATATTCCTGCCAGTGTCGTAGTCTGTTTCATAATAGTACAAATTAAAGGTTTCCTTGCAAGTTCCCAGTACTCCAGGAAGACTGTTACAATCCCTCAGGGTGAATTTCAATTCTACAAAAATCCTTTGTGCATTGCCTTTTGAAATCCAGTTAGTCCGCAGCCAGTTGTTTTGGTTGGGCTCCATGACCTGGCATACCTGGTATGTTCGTATCGGGGTGTAGTTCTCATCCAAACCACTAATTTCTTCCCACTGTAAAATTAAATAAAGGCCATCAGTCATTCAGGAAAAAATAACATTTTGATTTCAAGAGTACATGAAGAATCTTTTATAGCACAAATGTATATCTTGGAAAGATGTGGATTCCTACCCTGACAAACACTGTAACCTGAGAACAGAGCATTCTCACTTCAGCTTCATCCTTGTGGTGGAACATCATTTAGTTGCTTGCATTGTTTGTGCGTACAATAAATATTTCATTTTGTTTAATATCTATTTGCTAGTATATTATATTAGCGTTGCTTTTTACATGTTTGCTTACATCTGTAGTCTCCATTGAGATTGTAATATTTATGGACTCAAGTGCACAACACAATTACTTATCTTATAGTTTAATGCATATACATATGGATACATGGCAGAATTTTTTATAACTCAGTTGACATTTTAAGTGTAAACGTCATATTTAAACTTAGAAAGTACCTAAAAACATAGGGAAGAAAATGCCAAGAGTACTCTGTAATGTAAAAGCATTCCGCTATATGTTGATATTCATAATGCAAACTCTTTTACAACCTTTTCAAAATGAGACAGAGGAGAGTAACATTTTACAGAGCTATTTATTTATTGCAATGTTATCAATAATATTGTATATAAATCCACATACCTATAAAAAAGTATTTGTAGAAAAGTGTGTTTCATCTTTTTAAATAAATTGCTTTCAATAGAAAATCAAATATATATGGCAAATCAGCATCCTGAATCATATTTCAGTAATAAGCTTTCTGACAGGAAAAATATCAGATGTTTCAAAATGCCCATTCTTATACTCATACAATGCATGCTATAGCAAACTCTTATTATATATATTCACAAAAAAGGAAAATAATAAGTTTAGTAGTATGGGCAACATTTTAAAGATTATTAAATCATGTACAAATTACCTATATTGCTATTAGCAATTAAAGTCATTTCACCTAAAATAGGCCAAAAAGCCTAAAATAAATTGTTTAGATTCTTTCTTACCATTGTTACAAAATTACCCGCTTTATATTTACGCTGCCTTCTTCGTGAAATCGTCATTTACTTTTATTCATTTCCCCAGTACGAAATGCCAAATATAAAAATCTATTAGTATTAAAGTCCAAAGTCCCATAGCATTTAACATTTAAACTGTTGTTTCAAGAAAAGTAGATGGGTAAATAAACTAATAATCATGTGCTAATGATTTCTATCTGCAAAACTTGACCAAGACTCAGTTTATTTAAATGTCTATAAAGTATTAATATCTATTTTAAAACTGATTCATAGCAAACTAACAAAACTGACCAATTACCAATATATTATAATTCAGAAATTTCTTGTGTGATGTTATAAAATTACTACATTTTATTATACATATCATCAAAGGTCCTCAACTACAGCAAAGAACCCCTTATTATGTGCAGTTTTTACTCAACACAACTTGAGTTTGTGACTAGTTAATTGTATGCATATCTTCCCTTTGTTTCCATTAGCTGCTTAAAATCCATTTGAATGGCACTTAACCAAATTTCTCAATTTAACCAGGAGATTTTAGTCTCTTAATTAGATTGAAATTAGAAAATAAGTAAAGCTGGTAATGGCATCTCCAAAAAAAATCAAAAGCTCCAAAGATAAATGTGCTCTTTTTAATAATTTTCCAGTTTGAGGAAACCAAGTCTAATTATTATAAAGGACTATATCTCAAGAATTCCTTTTTCTAACTTTAAAAACAATTGCATTACTTTGTCCTATCTATAAAAAAATCAATTTTATTAAACTATGAATCCCAGTTAGTTTTAACTTTTATTTAAAAATTTAATCCGGAGGGGAAAATATCAAGTCAACTATGTATGATAACAAATAGTGAGACTACATAAATGTATCTAACACAAGGCTTGTTTTATTAGCTCACTTTCTGAGAGATTGCAATGATTTCTACAAATGACACCATTAGGGAAAAACTGTTAATTCAGATGCTGTGCTTTTACAGTTTGCTTATAAAAATATTTTCTGGAAACTTGTGTCTTAATAACAATTTATTTCCAGTTACATATTTAATAACATTAGTTAATCCATTTCATATATGGAAAATATCAATCTTCATTTTCTAATATTATCTGTTGATTCCTTCAGAAATGTAGGGTTAAGTGTAATTCAGATACTTTGGACTGACAGAACGCCCATTCGAGTCCAAGGTAACACAGTCATAATTTATCATTTCGTGGATTACGTGGATGAAATGCTACAATCATATATCAGTTTACTTCTCCTTAGAGATAAAATCCACCCTTTATCTCTATTTGTTTTAATTGATGGGTGGTAGAAAGTAGGCTACATATGTCATTGGCAAGAAAGGTGTTTCATTTTTTATTGTAAATGTCTTCATATAAGTACATTATTTTACTCATGGAGAACTTCTACTTACAAGAAAAGTATTGCATGCCTACCTCAAACTCTGTGTACTTGGTATACTTACTTTAAAACATTTGTTACTTTTCGTAACTTATTCTGACCAACACAATAAACTACAATATGATTTTAAGCAATCTCTCAAATATTAACTGAATGAAAAATCTAAATATTTTAAACAGATTTTCATCACTCACATTTTGCATTCTTAAAGTGACTTCCACTTCATGACATGGATTTTATGATATTCTTATACTTACCAATCCCTTTTGGATTTTCATTCTTCTCTTTGCAAAATTTGTTACACTTTTTATATCCTCACACTTCATGCACTTTGATGCAGATTTCTTACTGTGCTAAAAGTTAACTCAAGTAACAATGGGGTATATTTTCCTTTCTCAGAGCCCTCTTCCTTAATAGGGAATGAAGCATGTACCTTCTTTCACAATTAAAAAAAATCCGAGGACAAAGACATTGAACTAAATTTAAGTAATAGATCTTCTCTGATATATGAAACATACGGTAAAAGACTGGGGTGGGAGGGTTACTTATAATTTCATAAATTTTTATTTGACTGCTTTCATTCATACTTATTATAACATACTTATTTTTACTGTAATATGTGTGTCCTCTGCCATCATTTCTGATTAATAACAGCATATAGCACATGATATAAATTTGGAGAATCCAAATACTATTTGATAGCAAACTGTATGCTAAACTATCAAGCAAATTATATTTTTAGCTACCTTTTTAAAGTATATTTTGAATGATGCCAAAACTGTTTTTAAGAGGAAAAACAGATTACATATGTTTTAAAGAACTGTACACAACCTACCTGGTTATTATACTACAGAAGTATAAAGCACCTAGAGAGGTTTAAGGGAGTTTGTGAAAGGACTGTTCCCTGTAATTAGTTAGCATTTATAGCCTGGAACCTCAGGTATGATTCTACTCACAATAAGAGCTCATAATATTATGGTTATAGAGGTTTTAAAATCCATGTCTCCAAGCACTAAGTATACCTCCTTCTCTACTTAGTGAATTCAAGGTCTCATGACAAACACAACAAAAAAACTGAGTAAAATATTTGGAATTATAATAAAACGTAAATACAAAGAATATGAATAACTCCACCGTGGAGAGAGGAAAAATTATTGGTGACTTACTTTAAAATAAAAAGTGTGATTTTTAAAAAAGCACTTACCCCATTTGGTGGATAGGAAATCCATTCCAATTCCGTTTGTTGTGCTTTAGAATCCAGCAGTAGTACTGAAAAATAAAAAAGTTTTATTTCCAAACATTACATGAAAATTTTAAACACACTTGCAAAAGTTATTAAAGTAAATCTAATTTTATATATTCTATGACAAGATAAATAACTACTTACATAAATAAGAGGTGAAATGAATACCTACCCAATACAAGTATTTTACTACACTTTGAGAGAAAATATATTAAAATACCATCTTATATTTGGTATTTTCAATTAAAATAATAAATTTAAAAACTCAAAGTAACATGAAAGTGGGGGTAAAAATTGCTGTGAGGCATTTTTTATGTAGTAATTTTATATTATAAAGACTTTGTAAACCACTGAACCCTGCAAATTGTCAAAGAAGATAATGAAAACATAATAAAGTATAATTCTTTATTACTCTTAAGATAGTCATTAATTTATAACATTTTGTCATAAATATTTCCCAGCATCTTTCAAGAACTGGAATTTATTTTTCAAAACTTCTCACACACAGTGTCTCCTCTGAATCCAAATTGGATATGATTAAAAATTATATTAAGCATTGTGATCCTGAGAAAAATAAACTATTATTTGCAAGGAATACTTCTGAGTTAGTCAACCATCTGTTTTCAATCTTTCTGCTTTCTTAATTTCCAAAGGTTGCAAAGCATTAACCAATTTTCAAAATGGTATAAATATAAATTGTGACTTGACTACGTTTCTGACCTGCCTTTTTAAACCGGTTGTATTCCACTTTTATGTATCAAAAATCACAATACAATTAATGTAAACCTATAAATGTAATTAATAAATGCTCCTGATAGTATTTATAGAACATATTTAAATAGTATATAACACACTTCCAACTTGATACATTTTATTGCTTTTTAAGACAACTACCCCCCCCCCCCCCCGCCAAAGAATTCAGTTTTCTCAAACTGGTTTGTTAACTGAGTCTCTTTAAAATATTTTTGACTCTACAGCATGTTAAGAAGTTTATCAATTTGTCCAGAAATAATACTGCATGTATTTTCAAGTATGTAAATATGGTTAACACCAACCTCAGCAAAATGTTAAAACTCGAACTTTAATAAAAACACGTGCTTAGACGAACTTTTAAATAATCACTAAAGAAAAAAATGTATATTTTAAAGGAAATGAAAATTCGTTATGCTTAGAAAAAAAAGAGCACATTGATGTATTATAGTCATGCTAGTCAATGTATTCTGTGTAACTTAAAAAGGTAGATATAGATGCGCACTTTCTTAAAAAAAGGTTTTGCACTTAAGACTGTAGAGACCATGACAACACAAACCTTGGTGATAAACACTTGACTTCCAAATGAGGGGGGAAAACACACACACACACACGCACACGTACACGCACGCACGCAGTTTTAAAATACAAGTGGTATTTTACACTTGGGACATCAATAAATCATTGGGCTAGTGATTTTATGTGAAGTAATTTAATTTTTTAAAATTTCCTGATTTGAGAGACAGGAAGGGGGAGAGAAAGAGAGAAAGGGAAGGACGTGGGGGAGAGAGAGACAAACATCAATTTGGTCCACTTATTGATGTATTCATCGCTTGCTTCTTGTATGTGCCCTCAAAGGGATGGATCCCACAACCTTGGCGCACATGGGAGCGACGCTCTAACCCGCTGAACTACCCAGCCAGGGCCTCAAGTATTTTTTAAAGTTTATTTTGTTTTTGTCCTCAACAATAGAGGAAGCACAAGGAAACCATGTGGATGCCAGATACTCTTCTGCTATGATTTACTGTATTTTTATTATTTTTTGTCTCTTGTACTGGCAGGACAAGAGACAAGTTGATTTTAAACACAGGTGACCTTCTTGGGTCGTTTCTAAGAGTGAAATAAGCATTGGGGACGGTTTATTGCCATTCCGTTACCCCTCAGCACAGCCTGGGGTGGAAGCAAGGACCACGGTGGGGTGATGATGGCAAACAAGTTGAGAAATAAACAAATAAAAACAAAGCAGAAACCGCCCCCTGAATGTTTAATCTGAAGCAGCTCTAAAGAGATCAGTTTGTCTCGCTCCCTGCCGTCTGCTCTCTGGATACACCCCCAAGTGAGCGCTTTTACCTTCCTGCTCAGAGCACCCGGCGCCATCCTCCCTTCAAGACCGCGGTTGGGGAGCCGGGCGTCCGATCAGGCTCCGCAGAGCCCACGCCCTGCCACGCGGGGCCGGGCCGGGCCGGGTGACGGCTTAAGGCGCGAGGTGGGCGCGCTTTGGCAGGGCCGCGCGGGCAGCCGCGGGCAGCGGGGGCCGGGGCGGGGCCGCCGGCGGGGCGGGGCTGGGGCTGCCAGACGGGCGTGCCCGAAGCACCGAGCATCCATTAAGTCTCCGCCGGACCTGGGCACTCCAGGGAACCGGTGGCGCCCTCTCTCCAGTAGGAGACGGGAGGAGGAGAGACGCTTTCGGGAAGCGTCTCCTCTGAGGGGTCCGCGGCGGCAGCGGCAGCTTTTATCAGGAGGAAAAACAGCAGTTGCACTTTCGCCTGCAAGCAACAGACTGACTTACACACTGGCTCGCAGTAGCTGGAACTGGCCGCCCGGAGTTAAAGTGTAGGGGGAAAGTGGAGGAAGGTGGGAGAGGTCCCTCATCTTCCTTCAACCATCCCATCCAACCCCGAGGCTGGGCATTGCTCCAGGCATCCCAGCGCCCGCTAGTAATTGCCCCGGCCGGGCCAAAAAGCTAGCTCGCTCCCAGAATTTCAGCTCCAAAACGCCGCTGCCCGTTGGGAGAGTTGCCTCGGAAACTCCGGGGCATTCTCCGGGCGCATTCGCCACCCCGCCCACCTTTTAAATATCTCACTTCAGCGTTTACAGAATTCAGCCTCCTAGAATCGGAATCCTCTCCACGTATCCTGCACCCATAAGAAAAAGGCGAGCGAGCGAGCCAGCCTGGCTGCGAGAACCTCTCCCCCTAGTGATGCAGTTATTTATAGCTCAAACTCCCGCCTGGGTCGGCCAGAGCGCTAGCGCCAGGCTTCGCCGCCGCCGCCGCGACGCAAACTTTCCCCAACTACCGCTATTCCGGAGGAATCGAGACGGAGTTCCAGGATTGAATGTTCCTAATCGCATGCGAGTAGAAATGGAGGGTTTGCTGTGCTTGTGTGTGTTTCTAGTAGACGTCGGTTAGGCTGCAAACGCGTAACCGACAGTTCGGAGACACGGTTTTCTCGGAAAATGTCTCTGAATGCGTTCTGCGTCAACACTGGTTGCAGATGTGGAACTGGGGTCAGAAGGTCAGGGTGGCTCGCGAAGTACAACAAGGCATTGGGTTGGGGTGATTTGTGTGAACGGAGAGAGGTGTACTAAGAGAACTGGGGAGGGGGAACCCCGCACTAAATCACTAAGTTTTCAGGGATAAATGAAGCGAGGGCCGATGGTGTAGCTCCCGCCCCCCATTACCACCATGACCTAAATCTGGTATCAGATTCCTCCAACCTCCACAGTTCAGGAACAAGTAACGATAAGCATTTTGTTTTTAAATATCGGAAAATCAACCTTGGACTTACAAGCCTAGAAGACACGAGGTGGGGTGGGGAATAAACTGCCACAGTTCGGAGCAAGGCATTTCCATTGACAGGATTTCTTTTTCCCCAGCTCCAACTACAGGCACCGAAAGGTATTTTACCTTCTGTCAGTGGTTCAAAGGAGAAAAAAACAAAAAAACAAAAACAAACAAACAAAAAAACACCTTTTACCTAACAGCGTATCTGGCTGCCCAAATGAAACCTGTTCTCTTCATCCACAGCGAGCCCGGAAGGTCCAGGTCTTTCGCAGGGTTTGACCACTTGGACTGAACTGCCGGACTGGGGGCAGATGTTTAGGGACTTCCAACAGCCTGGGCGGCAGGCAGCACGTTATCAGGGTCACAGCCCCAGCCTGACCCCAGCCTCCTCGGCCTGGCCGAGCCCTCTGGGCTCCCCTTGCTCGGGGCTGTCTGCACTGCGCGCCGCGCGCGCTAAATGGAGGCGTCCCCGGCCGCTGGGCGCGCGTCCCTGGTCCGCTTCACCTTCGCGGCGTTATTGTTCCGCGCCGGCGGCGGAGCGCCAACCGCAGGCCCGCTCCTCCTCCTCCGACGCAGTGAGCACTTCATTAGTAACCCGAGCGTTCGGAGCTCACACAAGTCACTGCCCCTCGTGGAAGGCTCCTCACTTCAGCCGCTCGCTGGCGTGCTGGCCGGGACACTGGAGGCTGCACTCCCCAGTCTCCGACCAACTCCGGCCGCAGCTTAACCCTCGGGAAGCCAACACAGAGAGGAGGAAGGAGAGAGGTCTAGAAAGAGGAAGAGATCTGACTTGCCCGGGGTCCTGGAGACTAATCACGCCGGCCGTCCCTCGCCACCACACCCCACTCCACCGCCCTCTGTAGCTGCTCACGCCCTCCAGACTGCCCGCGCCAAAAATACTGCTCCCGTCGGGCCGACAGCCCGGGGCGCAGGGCTGCAGGCGGCTGGAAGTAGCCCCACTTGCCGCCCGCCCAGGGGCAGCCCGAGCGGCGAGGGGGCGGGGAGCCAGCGGAGAGGGTCGCCGTTCGCCGGAGGCGCGGCCGGCAGCCCTGCGGACGAGCCCGCTCCTGCAGGTAGACAGCTAAATAAATAAGTCAGAACAAACTTTGCTTTTCCTTCACCTTACCTTCCTTTGCAGCCTGCGCCTCCCCGGTGTGTGCAAAACGGAAGAGCCAGATGTAGCATAAAATAATCCATGAAGGGTGCCGAGTTTGAAAAACCATGGTGCATGAGCAGGTTTTATTTTAGGTCTCAGTTGAGTCGTAGCTTTTTAAATGCTGTTTGATCCGAAGTGGGTTCTTTTTTTATTGCTCTCAAATCGATTCCCCTTCTCGATCTCCGGGCGGCGGCTCCACGTTTAGCTTTTTAAAATTCCGCCCCCCCTCCAGTTCCTTCGCACCGTGTTCACTGCCTGCAAGTCTCCGACTGCAGACCCGCCGCTTGCTCCACACTCCAATAATATCAATTAGGGGGGGTGAGGGCGGGGCTCCGAGTGGAGAGCCTCCGCCACTCGGACTGAGTGGCAGGCGCAGCCGGCCTGCCAGGCAGCGATTCCCAGGGCCGAGGGGCGGGTCCCCAAGAAATGGCCGCCCCGGCCGCGGGGGCGGGATTCGGGGAGCGGGCCAATCGGCGGTGAGCGGAGTCAGGTTGCGGGTCCAGGATTCCCTCCAGGTTCTGGGTTCCCTGATCGCGCTGGATGCCCTTTAGAGGGAGGACGTGGATGGCAGCTGAGGTGCGTGTTGCCTTGGGCACTCTGGTTTTTAGCAAAGGCAAGCTTTCGTGGAGCAGAATCGAGCCGAGAATAACGCTCCCAATTTACAGCCCCCACTATATAGCTTTATTCCTATATGTCTGGTAGAAACCAGAGGCAATGCCAATGCTCAGCTGCGGAGCACAGAGCCGAGACAGTGAAATGAGCTGTGCCTTTAAGTAGAGTGCCTTTTACTTTTTTGTTGTTACAACCTCCACGGGTAGGACAACTGTTCCTTTCCTTTCTTGAATAGTTTCTACATCTCATTTTGTTAATCCAACAGCAATCAGCTCTAGGCTCCACCCCAGCACAGCCCCTATAAAAATAAGAGTAACCACATGTATTATGTTCAATCAATGTTTCCAAGAGTTTGCAACAAGCTCTGGCAAAAGAAACAGAGGAAAAAGGAGTGGAGAAAGGAAGTCTTTTGTTTTATGTGTCTTCCTTACCCCGCCCCATCTTTTCTCAATAGTTTGTTGGTTGAAGTAAAACACTGAGATAACCTTCAGAGGATTCCGTATCATTTTTTTTTAACATTTCTAATCATTTTCTTAGGTTTTTCCTTGGATTCCCCCAGTTCGATCGTTACCCATTTCACTGCATAAATTACACTTAACTTTAAGGAATGCTACTATGAATTAAGTTCATGAAGTAAACGTCTTTAGCAAATATCAACTACTTTCCTAGAAGTATTCAGTAATAATCTCTGAAAGGGAAACTGAGAATAAAAAGTGTAACCTACATCTCCAGTTGAATTCATCCAACTAAAATGTCGGGGACGACTGTGTAGAGGGAAATACGTTTCCGTTAGGCAGCTTTGGACTCTGCAATTCAAGAGGTGGGTAATATAATAAGAGGAAGACCTTTAAAACATTAATTGCCAAATCATCAATTTCAAAGGTCACATAGAGTAACTTTATCACATATTTAAGATGAGCTTCATTTTCTTCTTGTCCTGTATCCCTTCCTTTTAAAATAAAATGTCATTCATAATTTATCTTTATTTATGATAGGCACAAAGTTTTATCTCACCTAAGATTCCAAATTTTTCCTGTCTTTCTATCTGGAACTATAAAGTAAATTGAGTTATTTCTGGTATTTTTAGTAAAGACTTTTCAGAGATGACATCCCCAGATTTTTAAATTTTATAGTAAATTGACTCCTAGAGTTTTTATTTACCTAATGCAATTATAAGAAGAGAAAGAAATGAAATCTCCTCTGCCTTCTAACCTGTCTTTGGTTCTGTAGAGTTTTTTCCCCCTTAAATGTTACTTGTTCCTAGCCATTACACGAATTAAATATTTTAGAAAGTATATCTAAAAGCACCCTAAATGTCTTTTAAATGATGCAAAGAAAATGTAAACTGCTTAATAGATTAACCTTGAAAAGAGACCAAAAAAAAAAAATCTAGAGTACACTTGTTACAGAGATCAAGCAGTATTTATACAAACAGATGCTTTAAGAGTAAAAATTGTAAGATAAAACATTAGAATTAAAACATAAATCCCCACATGTAGGCTATAAAGCTATTAATCTCAGAACCACAAGTCACAAATATTAAACTGCTTCTAATAGTTAAAAATAATTCACCAGGATTTCAACACTTTCCCCGGGGTCTCATCCCCACTTCATAGAATGACACCAAGCTAGCCTTTAAAGTTGAAAATATTCCTTTCATCTATTGAATGACTAATACTCAGCGATGTGAATACAAATACCTTTCCATTAAACCAGGAAACCAAAGAAGTAACATCCTTCACTCTGATGAACATAGGTAGTGTAGGGAGCCCCCTCACTGTGTCCTCTCTCTGTCAAACATAGGGACATGTGCAGCCTCACTTTTATTTTTAGAGGCAAGATGCTTCACATTATATGCACATGTGCCAGGCTGCTGACAGTTTTCAGAGTTGCACAATGATGCTCATTTTAAGTTTACCAACCTTCCCTTCTCCTCCTCCTCCTCCTCCCCATCCCCCTCCTCCTCCTCCTCTTTCTCCTCCTCTACCTCCTCCTTCTTTTTTAGTATCTAGGTATCGCATATTGATAAAGAAGTCATGGCATTTAAATAAAAGTGAATGATTTAGTCAAGAAGAGAATGCTCATTGCTTAGTATTATACAGCACATATTTTAGTACGTAAATTGGTATTGGGCTATATTTCACTCGCAACAAAGCATATAAAGCTATTTGTACATGAATCACTGAAATAAAAAAGTCAGCTTATAAAACTTTCATATTTTAAAATAACATTTGAGAGTTAATTACTTTATATAACTTTTTAATAGTTTATTTTAGCTTATATGTATGATATATTTGCATATTATCTCTAAAGCAAATCGTAAAAAGTATTGTAAATGTATGTGTGTATATAAAATGAGATAGACAAGAAGTCATTTTCCTGAGCAAAATCAAATGGTGCATATAGCCACCATATGCCAAAGCAAAGATTGTGAAAACTGTTTCTTACTTTTATGTAGTCATTGTACAATGCAAGTAGCCTACATACATTTAGCTGATTTTAAGTAAATGGAAAAAAGAGGTAGAAACTTTAATATTTCCATTTATACCCCCTCTTTTGAACCGACAACCCTTTGGTTTGCAGGCCAGTGCTCAATGCACTGAGCCGCACCAGCCATTATACCCCCTCTTTTGAAACGTCTATCACAAATAGTTAGAAGATGAACAATGCCTACCGTCAGACACAAAGATAATACATCAAGGTTTTGTGTACCATGTTGTTTTTATCTAGCCATTCACTAATAATCATGCAGAACTGAATATATATGAAAATAAATGTACAAATTCAAGACATATCAAATGAGGGTACAGAAGTTACTTCCTTTTCATTTGCTTCAATGCTAACATTTACCTCACTGTTTATCTCTGGGGGACATTCTGTGATTTCTAAGAGAGAAATGGTTACTTAGTTGTAAATGATAAAGACTTCAAGAATAAGTTCCATGAATTTTCAAATAAAAACCTTTCTGTGCATGTGCATGTGTGTGTGGTATACTAAAGGAGACTTTAGAGGGTAGAGGAACAACCTGAGACTTTAGTATGTTACAAATCTAAGGTGCCAAACCTAATAGTTAACAATAGCAACAATGAAATCAAAGGGCTATTTCTGAACCTACTACTTTTGCATTTACTGTCTAAATGTATTCACAGCTGGTAAATGTGAAAATGGAACTTTATCACAGAAAAGGGGGTACTGGTAATTTAAACTGAATTAGAAAAGGTACTGTACAGAAGAAACTGATTATAAACAGAAAAGAAACATTATGTCTCAGTTAATAGATATTACAGAAAATTGGGTTCTCTGTGATTTCAGTCAAAATGTAAACAATCTGTTATGCAGAAAAATCACTTACATATTTACATTGGTATGATTTATGTAGTGTATATAAAATGTTTATTTGTAGTCCAATGTAAAAAATGCACATAAGCTAAGATCATTTTTAAAAGTAATAATTTAATTTATTCTTCTCAACTTAGAGTTAGCTGGCCCTATAGGAAGGCAGTGGTCAGAAATAAAATCGTAAGTCAAGACTATATTTTGTTCCTTTATAAAAAGTTCACTCACTTTTGTTAGGTCAGATTGTAATGTTCAGAAGATTACAATTATAATTTTTTAACTGTAATTACTGAGTTAATTTAAGACAGTTTAACAAATGACACAATTTATATCAAAATTATGAGCCCAGTTGAATATTGCTAAATTGTCAATCTGAAATTTTCTAATCACTTAAAATATTCTGAGTGATAAGTACAATAAAGTTATTATTTGATTAATATTAAAAGAACTACTAACATAGAAAAAATGTTGCACATTATACTCAAAATCACTAAGTACATGTTCAATACTCCAGAATTTTTTTTTAATTTGACTTTTGCCTGGGAAGGTTCCTCCTTTACATTACTTATACTTCATTTTGTGCTAAATCACCAGCATTGAAAGGAAGAACTATCTAAAGGTATGTAAATTATTTCTACATACTTTCATATTTTCTCTTCTTGCAATTTTTTAGCTCTTCAAACCCAGTGGATTTTTACGTGTCAAGAGCTGTGATAATTCAGTGACCACCAGGGGGCACCACAGTCTCTGGATGGCCTAACCAATCAAGTCCATATTGAAAAGAATGAGGTAATTATGAAATTGTTATATATAGAATTGTGTATATTTATATACACAATTCTATATATAATTAGTATTATTGATACTTTTATCCTCCCTGTCAGCCTACTAAAGGCCTTCATAAAAATTTGTGAGAAGCTCTATGACCTATTTCAGTCTACAGAGGTCAAGTTAACTGAAGGGACTCCAAAGCCACCTTAGAAAGTGAAGTATAATGCAGAAAAACACTGACCAATTTTTAAAAACTTAAGATCTGAGGAACTCAGATAGACTTCCAATATTCTCTTCCTTACTTCCCACCCACTTAACTCTCAAAGTCTTTTACCCTAGAAACAGTGTAAGCGAGGGATTGTGTATTCCCTAGGACTAGACACTTCTGAGATTTTAAGGATCCTGTGAACTTCCTAGAACTCTCTAGCTGGAAGAGCATTTCAGAGACCATTTTGCACCTAGTTTTCTACTATGGTTAATACTAAAATAACATTGTATCAAAATTTACCTGAACACTCTCAAGGAGGTTTAAGAAAAGGTCTAAGTCGTGTCCAACCTGTGGCCTGCAGGCCTCATGCAGC